GCTAGAAACCATATAAATACATGGAAATATAATTGGACAGGATATTATAGTAATACATGTATTAGTACTTAAGTAATATCAGGTACTGAGAATGAAAATACTTTGTTATATGTATCTGTAGGAATATGATAGTGATACACAGTTATTATCTAGAAAGTTACGATCTTAATTTTGTTATCTACAATCTTTCTGATTGCTTTAATGTTTATTGGATCAACATTTGTAAATATTTTATTCATTTATTATTGTTATATATGTATATATTATGTTCAAGTAGTTATGATGTAACATGGATATGGATATCAATACATAGCTGAAACAGAGGGAGTTTTGAAGTAAAGTAAGCAGTATGAGGGATAGAAACTCGACCTTCCAAGAACTCTCATATAATAGAAATTTGTGACTACATCTTGTTCTATGCTCAATGAATGTGATACAAGTGATGTATGAATGGACAGGTTAGTGACATTGTGTTATGGTTTTAAGACAAACCATAAACAGAGGGAATGTAGAATATTGCATATTCTATGTTTCTATTGATTATATATGGATGTGTGGATTGACATAAGTAACAGATGGTATCAATAAGTCACAAGGCTTTCTTTGTCCGAGAGCTCTGGAATGTGGATTCGGGGGTCTTTTCCTTATATGGCTAGAGTTAAACGCTGACGTTAGTATTAGCACATCTTTATAGTAACAGAGGGACACGAGGTCGCTCTCTCTTCTTGGCTTGGCTCTTGGCTCTGTACAACGATGTAACTCTCCCATCAGAAGTCCAGCAATTACCATCTGCTGTTGAATGTCCATAATCCTGTAACATCCTTTATTATGTTTTATTATGTATCCGTAACAAAGAATAAACCTGAAGAAACCGTAAGTCAGATTGCGTATTACTACTTTTCAATAATATAGACATATATTATTGTGGCGAGCATTTGGCCCAAGAATATATATACAAAAGACGTATATATATCAATCAACTGAAGACAAGAAGAAATTAAGAAGATTCTACATTAACATCCGTTCTAAACCAGATTTTACAGGCCGTTTAAAAGAAGGCAAGTTAGAGTTTTCAGAGAAACATTCTTTGGTGATCCCAAACCAAACACCAGGGCTGACTGTTTACTGAAGGAGCTTTACGAGCTGCTGGACTGTGGATAGTTGGAGCCAAGAGATGTGTGAGCAAGTTCCTTTTCAAGTGTGTTATCTGCCGTAAACTTTGCGTAATGTTACAGACACAAAAGATGGTCAATTTACCATCCGACAGACTTAGCATGGATCCGCCCTTTACTAATGTTGGACTCAATGTTTTTGGTCCCTGGTCTGTCATCACACGGCACACCAGAAGGGGACATCCAAACAGTAAACGCTCGGCAGTCATATTCACCTGCATGTCCATTCGAGCCGTTCACATTGAAGTGATTGAATCAATGGACACTTCAAGTTTTATTAATGCTCTTAGACGTTTCATTTCAATTAGAGGCCCAGTGAAACTCATTTGCTCTGACAGAGGTTCTAACTTTGTGGGAGCAGTAAAGGAACTGCAAATCCCTTCCAACCTAGACATCCTCAGTGTAGAAAGATACTTGAGTAAGCAAGGCTGCACATGGACTTTCAACCCACCTCACTCTTCTCACATGGGAGGTGTTTGGGAGAGGATGATACGCATAGCCAGCAGAATTCTGGACTCTATTATTTTGCAAGTAGGGACTGCGAGGCTCACCCACGAATCCCTAGTGACATTTATGGCAGAGGTCACAGCTATTATTAATGCCAGACCTTTGACACCAATTTCCAACGACTCAGAGGATCCAGTGATTCTCACACCTGCCATGTTACTCACTCAAAAGACTGGCCTTGTTGGTGCCCCAGCTGGAGAGTTTTGTGAACAGGACATTTACAAACGTCAGTGGAGACAAGTACAAACCCTTGCCAATACCTTCTGGAGTCGGTGGAGGAAACAATATATCTCTACTCTTCAACCAAGGAGAAAGTGGCACATTGAAAGACCGAATCTTGGTGATGTTGTACTCATGAGAGACTGCCAGGCACAAAGGAATGAGTGGCCGTTAGGTCTGATCACCAGAGTACTGCCAGGCAAGGATAAGTGCATCCGTAAAGTCGAAGTCAAGATCTTCCAGCAGAATGAGGCCAAAGTATTTTTAATACCAGTGGCTGAACTTGTTCTGTTGTTTTCTGCAGAAGACTCTGTCAGTGATGTCACATAACGTCAAGCGGGGAGTGTTCTGTCCTCCAGACTTTATTCATTATATTTGTGCTTGTTGTTTAGAATAGTATGTTTAAATAAAGTTGTTAGAAAGCACAGCATTATGGGCAGAACTTGTACAGGAAGTGTATCAGCCTCCATTTTGGGAAGATACAGTAAACAGCAAGCCATGTACTTCTCATCTCTAGCCATCACCCCTGAGAGAGCTTAAAAAGTGAGTTCTTGCTATGTTATCCTGTATTATTGATCATTGTTTCTTTGTTGTATGCCATACTTTATTGATTGAAGTTTATTTCTATCAATTTGTAGTTTCACCTGGCTTGTTCTAATAAATTTGAGATCAAAGAAATATGGCATCTGAAGTTTATGGAGCAGGAAGGTTTAGCTCTCTGTCCTAGAGACAGAACAGTCTGGGTGCAATGTCCCTCAGGTTTTAACCCTTTAGATGCAAACATAGCAGTTTCTGAGAAACTATGTTTACATTTGGGGTTAAGCCAGCCTCTAGTGGCTGTCTTCCATATTATACCTCCATCGCGCAGAGCGTCTATAGGAAAGCATTGAAAAATGCTTTCCTATTGACAGCTTGAATGCGCGCGCGGTGCTTGCCGCACATGCGCATTCGGCTCTGCTGACGTCGGCGGGGGAGGAGAGGTCACCAGCACCGAGGGAGCCCGGCGCTGGAATAAGGTAAGCTGCTGAAGTGGTTTTAACCCCTTCGGCGCCACGGGTCGGGGACCCTGAGGGTGGACACTATCCTGACACTATAGTGATCCTTTAATGTATTTATTGAAAGCATGTTACTTAAAGGGACACTATAGTCACCAAAACAACTTTAGCTTAATGAAGCAGTTTTAGTGTATAGATCATGCTTTTGAAGTTTCACTGCTCAATTCACTGCCATTTAGGAGTTTAATCATTTTTGTTTCTGTTTATGCAGCCCTAGCTACACCTCCCCTGGCTGTGATTGACACAACCTGAATGAAAACAAAATTTCATTTTCAATCAGATGTAACTTTAAAAGTTTTTATCTCATGCTCTGTAAATTGAACTTTAATCACACACAGGAGGCTCCTGTAGGGTCTTGCAAGCTATTAGCAAACGTGGAGATAAGAAATTCTAAATTAAACAGAATTTGCAATAAAGGAAGTGTAAACCTTAGATAACTCTTTAGGAAGGCTGAATAAGTCACATGCTGGGAGGTTTGACTAGGGCTGTGTAAACTCCTAAATGGCAGAGAATTGAGTAGTGAGACTGCCATTGCATGATTTATACACTAAAACTGCTTCATTAAACTAAAGTTCTTTTGGTGACTATAGTGTTCGCTTAACTTCTTTCATTTGTCCTACCAAAATAATGATGAACCATGCCTCCAAGGCATTTTGGTGACATCATAATAAACACATGACTGAAGATTGAGTGGTTTACATATGCCTCCAGAACCCCAAGATAGCCGTATTTGGTTTTTTTATGATAACATAATTTACTTATGTATTTATATAATATTTTACCAAGAAGGATGCATTGAGATATCTCTTCTTTTCAAGTATGTACTGGAGAATCTGTACAAATACAGGTATATTGTTGCACATATAACAGGAGACGTATACAATACAATTCCGAATAAAATGTTACATGTATAAATGACATATACAATAAAACTATAAATTAACAATGAGTGCGTTTTCATTGAAGTAGGTGGCGCAGATGTTTTCAGAGACTTCAGACTAGTGGAAGATGTGATATACTCTAGCAGATTATTTCACATATGTCCATGTTCCATACGTGGAGGTAGATCGAATAACCTACTTTTTGAAGCAGGAAGTGCTTATCACCAGACAAGTAAAATGAAGAGTACTTCTGGATGCAAGAGTTTAATTGTTTCAACATATTACAAAAATCAGTACTGTAGTTACACTAGTGAACAAAGCATCAAAACAAATGACTGTTTATTATAAATTATACAAACTATTGTGTTTAGTGATATGTCTTGGCACTACAGATTTTCTCCTAATGCATGCTTTGCATTTCTTATTTTCTTTTACACAAATCTTTAGAAGTACATGCTCTGCCTTAATAAGTGGGAATTAAACTTTCAAAACATAAAAAGGATTGCTGCTGAATAATTACATAAGAACACAACCCTGTCACCAATTATATAAAACAACATTTGCCTTTTATTTGCGAGGGTAGATCAAATTGTACAATATTATAGTACACAGATGGAGATGCCAGTGTTAGGATAGTGTAGGGGTTAAAGAGAGATGTGCCCAAATTAGTGGCAGCTTCACACATAAGCACTGGCCACTGTCATTTTCTTTCAGCTCTTTCTTGACCTTTATTAATAAAAGCATCTGAAACATCTGCCACCCACTACTTCTAATTCTAAACATCTCACCATAATTATGTCTTTGGAATAAATTATTATTTTTGAAGATTGTGCTAGTGATTATTTATAACTAATAATAAGGGTGAGTTGTTGTGGCAGTGTCTAAAAAAGGGAGGTATTTACTAAATACTAGTTAAAATAATTAAAAACTGGGTTTCTAACACTTGTAGAGAGCCCAAGCATCCAACATGAGTGTCTGTTCTGGTCTAATAAAAGGTACGTAGAATAAGAAGTAGGAGTAGCTTCTTGACCTCAGAAACATATCAAGGTACTACTCCCACTTTTTATTCTACATAATGAACAAATACTAGTTTGTTAAATATAGTAATTCTCTGTCCCAATTATCAATGCCATTGTTCAAGATGGGATCACCCACCACTGGTCAAGATGGGATCATCCACCACTGGTCAAGATGGGATCACCCACCACTGGTCAAGATGGGATCACCAACCACTGTTCATGATGGGATCAACCACCACTGGTCAAGATGGGATCACCCACCACTGGTCAAGATGGGATCACCCACCACTGTTCATGATGGGATCACCCACCACTGTTCAACATGGTATCACCCACCACTGTTCAACATGGTATCACCAACCACTGTTCAAGATGGGATCACCAACCACTGGTCAAGATGGTATCACCCACCACTGTTCAACATGGTATCACCCACCACTGTTCAACATGGTATCACCCACCACTGTTCAGTAATGAGCAGAATGCACTCTAAGGAGGTTAATAGACTACGGGTGTTTGTGCATAAGAGGTTTTTGAGTTATACTTGGTTTCACCCTGATTGTTCTGCTGATTCTAAGAATGGATTCCCACATTTTACATCAGAGACTCTTTTGTTAGTTTACCAACAAGACTTCCATTGTTGTAAGAGCTTACTGTAGGCGCTGTTCTGGATGACATTTTTAAGTAAATTACTGTTGCAGCATGGGCCATGCATGTATCATCATTCAATTTTTTAGAATTTTATATACTTGGTGTTATAGCAGTTTAGAATGACATGTCATCATTGAATTAAAAAAACCCATACATGTTACACTACTTGCTGGCATGTAAACTTCTATTTGTGACCTAAAATAGCTGTACTGGTACAAACATTTTAAATAAAAATCTAGAAAAGAATATTTACCTTTTAAGGTTTCAAATACTGATTACTGATTATGTTAGTTTCGACATAGAAGATGCCATACAAAGCCGTCCAACCATTGCTCTCCCATAAGATACCAAGGGATTAAAACTAAACGCACAAGTCCATGACATCGTGAGCATACTGTGTAAGTATATTCAGACCTGATCCTTCTGCATGCAAATCTAGCACAATACATCCTTTCACCTCAAGCTAACTGAATACAGGTGATAAGAACTGGCTGGACTCTTTGCAAAACAAGAAGTTACTGCTGCCAATCATACAATTAATTTACATAGAATGGAAACTGCAAACTGTTCCCTGGGCTGCTTAGTAACTCAAGACTAGAATACTATTGATATGTGTTTCCGCAGAAATAAATGCATTCTCAACCATGACTGCCCCTTAAAAATAAAGCACATCTAAAAACTGGTACCCAGTTAATATTTTCTTATCCTGTATTTTTAATGAGCCATTAGCAGCAAACAAAATGTGCACAGGAGTGTTCGAATACTACACAAAAATACATATTTTGTTAAATGAATGCGCATTTGAAAGCAGTGTTCAACACCTGTTTTATGAGAAACTGTTTAACAAAATCCCTGTGGTGAGAGATATTAAAATCTCTAGAATATCTAATTAGATTTTTTTCCCCCAAAGCAGCATGAGAGTAAGAATGTAACCACTTTGTTTTCCTGGCTGGAATGTAATACTAGTATATGCATAATAACACACAAATAAAATGATGCTAAAAACAGATAACACAGAAAATTTTCAAATGTCTCAGGGCGCTTGCGATTTGATGCATTTGATAGACTCAGTGCCTCCCAAAAGAAAGCAAAAACGCTTGGCAAATATGCTTAATAAACATAAGTCTTAGTATTAGGAGTTACTGATAATATAAGGAAAATATTATGTAAAATTTACTATACGCCATTAACACACCAAGTGTTACAAGGGATAATATATATGCTAAATATACCTTTTTCACCGGAAAATACATTATGTGCAAAGGTCTGAAATTGCGCCTAGATTGTAAAAATGGTGTAAAGTAACTAAAATTCCAATTTAGCTATTTATTGAAGGCGATTTGAACACAAATATTGTAAATGTGTAATGTGTGTTTTCTCCTGAAAAAATTATAGTCGGTTTCCAAGAAAAACTTTAAAATGATTGGCTAAAAGTACTCGGGATGGCCCATCACTCTTATCCTATCACTACTGCTGTCCAATCCAGGTAAATTATGTGCCCCCCATCAGAGAGAAACACAATATTTGGAGGCTCAAATAGCAGATGCTGGGCCCAACAGTACATGTAGGAATTAGGGCTTGGATATAGACACTTCTAGCTCTGTTGATATTTTTATGATGCTGCATTGGTAAAAATGCCTACAGGTTTCTTATCTGAATCTATTGCAAGTAGCAAAAAATATATATCTGCTTCTACGCTAACATCTGATATTTTTTAATATAAGGCACACCAAATAATCTCTGTGACTTTTTATAATCACTCCAATATTTATGTAAAAGATTACGTTTTTTTTTTTCCATATGTTCCTGAACCGCAAAATAGTTAAAAACATTTTCTCGTAGGTTTATGTGCTAGATAGGCAACCCATGTTTAAGTTTAAATGTACTACGCATTCTAGATCTGTTAGTGAAAAGTACAGTGAATGAAACAGTGCTGCAATCTTAAAGGGACACAAGGGTCACCACAACAACTTTATCAGAATTAAGTTGTTATGGTGCCAGAAGGTCTCGGGAGAGTGCTTACCATAAGGGGTTAAACTGTTAACGAGTGGTTTAACCTCAAATGGCTAAATCTGGCACCTCTCTGATCTCTCTGTCCATCTCCTTCTGCCGCAGAGTGAGGCATGAATTAGGAAGATGCTGATAGGTTGAGAGCATTCACTGACACTCTCAGCCTATATGTAGCACCCCATTCACAAAATAGCTTAAGAAACAGACATATTTTTCTTTACTCTAGGCACCAAAACAATTTTACCTAAATTACATTGTTATGGTGCCAGGACACCCCTGGAGGCACTCTTACCTCAAAGGGTTAAACTGTTCTCCAATGGCATGACCCCAAAGTTGCCTTCAGTGGTGATGTCCAGTCTTCCCCTGGTGGCATCCATCTTTTCAGATTCCGGAATCACGGAGTGCCGCTGGGCAGACTCGGCGCTGATTGGAAAACGTTTGTTTCTTGCAAAGCTAGTTTAGTGAATGGGGAGTCACTGATTGATTGAAAGCGTCAGCTGAGCACTCTCAGCCAATCAGCGGCGAGTCTGCCCGGTGGCACTCCAGAGGCCTCCTGGCACCAAAACAACTTGGTGAAGTTGTTTTGGTGCCTGGAGTGTCCCTTTAAGCATACTGTGAATGGGGAGTCGCTGATAGGCCGAGAGCCTCAGCACCTTTCTGAAACTCCCTGATTCAAGCCTCGGACTAAGACTGAAGGAGATGCAGTGTGATTGGGCAAATGATTTAGCACTTTGGGGTTAAGCTGGCGCCTGGCGCCTTCTATCACCATTGCAACTTCATTCCGAATAAGTTGTTGTGGTGCCTGGCATGTTACCTTAGTTTTTACCACCTACGTCAATAGCAACATTTGTATTCTGCTACCTTATATTCACTTTTTTTTTTTTAAATCTTTGCTTCTTCTAATTATATGTAATCTGTAATTTCAAGAGCATTCCATACATAAACATAAAAGCTTGAAATCTGTTTAATTAAGTATCCATTTGACTGCAATCACTAGCATGAAGTAGGTGTTACATTATTGAGGTTGAAATTCTAATTACAAATGAATACATAGATAGCGTGTTTTTAATCACACATTATTAACTTATAACCATTGCATAATTATTACAAGAAGTTCAAATTGATAAATACCCCGTTTAGGCTGTTATCTTATTACAAGCCCAAATTACCTTTTTTTCATTTGATCAACTTTTTAAAATAATACACCGGAAAACTTCTTCTTACCAACAATTCTAATTAGAGGTATCAATGCATTCTAGAAAAGTGACTGTTATAAACAAAATGTAATATAAAACATGTGGTGACTTATGCAGAGGTTTTAAATCGCATGGGTTTTCATTAACAGACTTATTCACTACAGTGAAAATTCAAAGTGAATTTCAAATTTAAGGCTAAAATAGTCAGACTGGAATCGTAGCTGACTTAGAGAATGTTTCTAGTTTGACTATGTTTCCTTGAATTTGAATTTCAATTTAAATTCTCACTTTGGTGACTAACCCTGTAAAATCAAATTGTAAGATTTATGCAAAAATAACTGAGCTGTGTAAAAAAAATATCCAGCTATAGTCACAGATTAGCTACTTGTTGTAGATTTTATAGTTTCAGTTGCAATTAACTACAATTTGGGGTTTGGTGAATAAGCCACATATTTGTCATCATTATTTTGAACAAAGAACATAATTTTTCTGTAAGGTGAAATGCATTTCTTGGGCAGATATATTTAGAAAGATATGCTGAGCCCCACAGTTCCTTTCCATTCCGTATCCATTGCATACTTACAACGTGTAGATATTCTTGTTAGGTGCAAGCAGTTGCATGAAGTCCTTTCAAGATGCACTGGGACCACTTGTAATTTATGGCAGTGTATTGCAATCTATTTAAGACTCCCCTTTAGAGTGATCTGAATACTATAGCAGCTGCAGTAAATTCTTCATCCTACTTACATAGCTGGTGAGTCTGAAAAATGCAGACGGACGCTTAAAGTTCAACATTCACAAAATTACTCGATAAACAGAGAGGCAAAAAATGCTAATCAAAAAAAATGTTTTATTCTATCAACAGTATAAAAAAAATACTTACAGGGTTGTCATAAACCATTATGTATAAATGGATGCTCAGCACAATGCTTTATAAAAGCATTCTTCAATATATGCTTGTGAATCATTTCAGTAAAATTACTCCCACAATGGATTATGGACACCAGCAAGTAATGCTTGGGGCTAATTTCTGTTGATTATAGTTTTTATGGGTCTGGTGAATTGAATCTAAATAGACGTTAAGTATGAGAATGAATCCGAAATTCACATCTTACATGTAGAGATGATAAACAATAGATAAAAATCCTCCACCTTTCTGCATACAGTTATACAGCTGGACCTTTGAAAGAGCATAGCCAGAATGTCTCAAAGAGTCAGCATACTTAACAATTTAACAACTGTCATTAAATCATTGGAATAGTCATGATTTGTGCCCTTGCCATGCCATCTCAGGTGTTTTACTGGTGTCCCATAAAAAGCACAGCCTTTTCCAAAGTACTTTGCCCTATATGAGAGAACTTCAGAGCAACAATTCCCTTTTTAACTGGTCTCTATTCCTCAACACAAAATCCCAGATCTCACCCAAAGGTTAGCCCTGTAGCCCTCAGGCCTCCTTCTGATTCAACAGCCTGTTCTCCAACATGGAGGGCAGATACAAGAGAGTTCCTGCTTTGTTTTTACAGTTAGAAAACCTTAGATAAGTGTGATGCATTTTCTCCTTCCCCTCTAGTCAGCCATATCATGCACTGTGTGTGTTCATTATTGTTTAAAAGGAAT